CCATGAACGGACAGGTGATTCATAGAGGTGCGATCTAGAGTTACCTCTGTTTACACGAGTATAAAGCTTACGGCAGCGAATGCAGCAGATGACGTTTTTCGCGACGACCCTTTGCGTCATCGAGGGCGAGACGGTTCTTGCGTCTGCATTTTTTCTCCCTCGCGAAACGCGTGCGTTCGCGAAAAAAAGGAAACGCACACACACGCACACGAGACCGAGCTGAAAGTGCTCGTTTTCCGATTGAATTCGCTACGGTTGGCACAAATTACGCGTCATTAAACGCTCCCGTGAATATACGCACGCATATGCACACACACACACACACACATACACAAAGACAACTGGAGACAGCTGGAATCGACAGGTTACCGTACAAAAAAAGAAATGTAATGATCGCTTCCGTCTTGTAAGTTTCGATGTAACGCGAGTAATGTGCAGAAAAGGAGATTACTGCGAAGGGAAAAAAGCAGACTCACGTTGCGGAATGTGAAGGAGCGGAATGTGATCTTAGTATATCGCTTTTTCTCCAACGCAATTAGGAGACACGAGTGACTTGGATAAAACGCACTTTCGCTGAAACGGGCAATCGAATTCGCGTTTAAACGCGTCTCTTTTCCTCTCATTCCGGCTTAATTATTAATAATAATCAACAGATTAACAGATGGAAATGGACGATAGCGCGCGTACAACACGTACTTTCGCCGGAAAATGTCAAAGACATTTCGAAAGGCGTTGTCACCGGAGAAGTAAATCGTCCCATTAAGGGGGGAATGAATTACATGCGGAGCAGGCCGTTTTCAAGGCTATTTTTACGAATTTTTTTTTAACAGAAACGATAGGATCAATGGACTTGAAATTTTCACAGTATATTCCATTCATTAATGTTCAAAGTATAAAATAAATTTGTTACTATCATCTATATGGAAAGTACACATAAAGCTTTAAACGCGTTTATCTGGAAACACCATTTTCTTAAACTGTCGACACGATTACGCAAAAGTTAATGAACCGAGTAACTTGAAATTTTTACACAATATATAGTATATATAGTAGACACGTAGTTTTCGCCCTTACCTCGAACATAATTATATCTTATTTTATTCGTTTTTTTAAACACGATTACAAGTTGAAAAAAAGTTTCATTTTCGATACTCTTTTTCTTTGTACAGTCATTATTTTTCCAAACTTGGCTTCATTGCCTTCATTTTGGTATCTAACGGCTCTAATGGCAACCGTATATTTTAAAAATCTTTCTCACTTTTTGATCTCAGAATAGTGAGAGGCCCGGAATTATGTCGACAGCAAACAGAGCACAGAGCTCGCAAACGGACGATTGGATTTTTATCTATAATTACAAACTGGATCGGTTCTTGTGATTCGGTAAAATTTATTTTCTACTTTGAACATTAATGAATATACTGTGAAAATTTCAAGTTCATTGATCTTATCGTTTCGTCTAGACGAAAAAATTCGTCTAAAAATAGCCTTGAAAATGGCCTTCATGTGATTCCCATGTGATTCCCCCTTGAATATGACTTTAGAATTTTCCCCGTTATAGGCGCGAGCATCTAGATTACGGCTATCACTCGCAATCTCCTTCCGGATGAGAAACAGAAGAAGGAGAGGATGAAAAATCAAACGGGACGCCGACAGTGCGCTCCGCCGTATTTGTATCGTGCTCCCGAAAAAGGAGACGGGCCGGTGAAAGAAGAACGCAGATGGAAGGAGGATGTGGCGTTTTATCTCGGCGGTTTCAAACGAAACAGGACGTTGCTCCAACATTCGACCGGATGATGATCATCGTCAGCTGACGCACGTACATACACGTACGCGTACGTACGTACGTACGTAACGTACGTGCACCGATCGGTGTCGTCGAGTGGCATTGTTTAAATTCCTCTGGACGTCCCGGTTAATAATTATAGTAGGAACGATATACGCCGCGAGCAAAACGCTCGGCACAACGGTAACGTCCGCCACGCTGACGTACACGATTGGCTATTAATTAAGGCTCTCGCGCGCTACGCCAACAAGAGTCGCGGAATAAAGGAGGAAGGAACGCGGACAGGGAAAGAAACAAATGCGAAGCGTGCGAGTCGTTGTTATTGCGTCAACTTTGTTAACGAGACACCGCGCAACTGTTTCCAACTGTTTCGCACGTGCCATTCTGTTTTTTGCTTCTTTTCTTTGTCCGCGCGAGTTCTTTTTTTTTTTATCACGATCGGTGAGAATCCTTATCTCGGACGGCTTTTCGCACTTGTCGAGTTCTTCGGGTCGTATGAAGATTTGGTACGGCGCGCGTTACGTGTGCCGAGGTCGTCGTTGCGTAATCCATTATCAGACGGTCTTACGCGCGATACAAGTCGTATTTTATTGTCGTATCTCACGCACACAGACAAGCGCAAATAGTATAGTACGACGGCCGCTCTTATCAGCCGCTCACGTGCGGAAAGCATTAAGATCTGTCTTTTTTGCCTCTTAATTCCTTCTCTTCGCACGGCACATCGGACATCGAGTGCCGCGTAAACAACGCGCATTCCCGGCGAGCCACCTCGTGGAAATTGACGAAGATTGCGCCACCTTGACGCGTGTCCCAGTTTCTAGTTCGTTAAGCGATCACTTTTTGTTCAACGCCCGAGTCGGTCGGCGATATTCTTCCCTGGCATTCGCGGACGCACCGTTACGACGATTAGATGGAGCAGATGCAATTTCGCAAACAAAATATGAAAATTGCGCGCGCAAGCGTTTCAGAAGGAGGAAGCGTTCCTCCGCGGCCGCGAATAGCGCGATGATCGCCGCCGCCGTCGCTCTTTGATAGTATTTCCTTTGTTCGCGCGCTCGTCGAGCGCGTCCATTAGATAAGGCAGCGATATCATTTCATAAATGAATATTAAGTAACGCGGATCGTATCCGCGAGACACTGACCATCGTCGTTCCAACATTGTTAGGGTTGCCAGATAAGGTTGCCAACTGCCCGGTTTTGACCCGGACCCTGTCAGGTTTTCAAAAGTCTTGTCCAGTGTTGTCCGGTTAATAAGTCAAACCGGATCCGCCATATGTCCGGTTTTTAAGTTATATCCAATCAATGGAATGAGAGAGTTCAGATATCGTAGCAACGTTTCTCCGTTTCAAGCGCCTACAAACGATCGCGAGCGCGACGAAAAGCCATCTAGCAGATGATCTGCCGATGCGTCATTCCATATATATTTTAAAACATTAATAGTTTATTATTTTATTCGGTTAAATCTTGTTTATAAAATTTTTTGGAAATTAATATTGTAAATAAATTCTTGTTTTGTGTAATTTAATGCAACGTTATGATTATTATCTCTGTCCGGTTTAGTCCGGTTTGGGTTTGTTACCAAAGAAGAAATGTCCGGTAATTTTAACTTTTGGATTTGGCAACTCTATCGCCGAGGTAGCCGAGATTTCCGGGAATGTCCCGGAATTCTTAATTTTGTCCCGTGTCCAGGAATTTAGGTCTTCTGTCCCGGAAAATCAGGAATTTCAACAGAATCATAATCGTAACATTCATGTTTCTAACTGGGGTTCCACAGAGAGGAACCTGAGAGCGGTCACTGCGATTTATAGGGTCGAATTTTTCGACGTGCCACCTAAGAAAATTGATGTCAACTAAGCCATTTGCGTGGTAAAAAATACAATCGCACGGTTTGCGTGCAAATCTCTCTCTCTGCTGGCATCTAATTCACGCATTTTTGTTTGTTGCGAGCGCACAGCGGCATCTCTCCTTAGCCGTCTTACCCGTTTATCTCTCAAATTTAACTAAAATTCTCTAACAACCTGTTTTTCAACCGTCGCCTAAAAAATGTCCCGGAAATAATCGTGTCGCATCGGGTAACCCTGTTTATTGTACCGCGACAAGGCTCTAGGGACTACAAAGATCTGAATTCTCACTTCAGACAGACAGATCTGGTGTCTCTAATCGAGAGAAAGCGCGCGATGGAGACGCTGCGTGTAATAACTCGAGACACACATACACACACCTGGATTCAAACACCTGTCCATGCTCGATTAAGAGGCACGAATCTCTGTTCGAGAAGCGTTCCACATGGTGAGAGAGTAGAGTGTCGTCGTCCGAGTTGTCGCGGTGAGAAAAGTTTGAAAACAATCTGGCCTTACGCACGACACGAATAACACTCCAAACGATGACGCATAAACCGCCGCGATAAAGCGCGCGCGTTTCTAATTAATGACACAGCGCGAGTGACAAGTGTCGCTTCGGATATCGGAAGGACGAAGCTCTATCGATCGAATCGGTGACAACACAATTTCGCCTTGCTCCCGTAGGCGAGGTTTCACGGAGATAAGGATTTAAATGGAGACTCGTGCGAGCCGGTTATTACGCTCGTCGTCGCGATAACTCGCGAATTCGACGGGCCGAATGCGAAGCGCGTCCGAATCGACGACGATTAATGATATCGCGTGAAAGGCGGCCGTTAAGTACGCGTGATAATTTCGTCCCGAACGAGACGGAGACTCGCGGATTATAAACATTACAGGGAGAATCCTCGATTATCGACCGGGAGAATAATCGGCGCCCCGCTATCACGCGCGGGCGAACATTTCCGGATTATCTAATACGAGAAAGTAAGTCCCTGGAACGAATCGTCGATCCATCGTGCGCCTAATTTCTCTCATTTTCCGCTGAATGTCGGACGCCTTCGGTTTCACTTTGCCTCGCCGCGCCGCGCGAGCCGGACGCGATGATGCGTGATGCTCAGCGAGGAGGTTAGAAGAGGAAACGAGCGCTTCGCCGGCCGAGCGTTTTAGAAAGCGCCGCGCGCACGCGCGCGCGTGATTTCGGAGAAGCTTTACTTATTAGCGCGATAATGCAACGCCCGATCAGGTTAGGATATATATATATATATATATATCTCGCCCCGTGTTCGTCATCGGCGGTTATCGAAGGTAAACATCGTTCGCGAAGGCGTACCGAGTAATCAGGGAAGCGGCCGAATCTCAATCGGTGCGTGACTCACCTTTGGCTTCTCCCGTTTTCTCCTGATGATGAGACCGTCGTTCTCGATATAATCCGGCACATCCTTGCGGTTGCTGAAGTTAAATACCATCGTGTTGTTCTGCTGATTCCACGGCTTCGTGTCCCAGAGGCCGCCGCCGCCGCCGCCGCTCGCTGCGCTCGTCTTCTTCGCCGGCTGTATCTCGTCGGCGCTCTTCAGGCTCACCACGACCTTGGTCGGCTGCTCGATACTCTTGACCCGGTTGATCAGATTCTTCTCGAGCTCGCGATTGCTCAGATTCTGCTGCGTCTTCGTGGAGACCAACGGCCGTATGATGCCGATCTGCTTCTGCGGTGGCGAAAACTCGCTCTTTTGACATCTGATCGTCTTCGTCTCGTTGTTACTCTGCGGATACGCCGACGACGTGGTGGTCGTGGTGCTCACCGTCGTCGTAGTCGCAGGCTTGATCAGGCCCAAGCTGCTAATAGCGCCGATGGGCTTACTTTCTGGCACAATCGGCTTCTCCTCGACGTCCTCCTTGTCGTCGTCGAGCTTCTCCTCTTTCTCCGACTCGAGTCTCTCTTGGCAAACTTGCAACTTGGCCGACGCGGTTGTCTCGCAGGTTGTCACGATGTTCAGTGGTGCACTCGACGATGAGACTGACTTTCCTCCGGACTCTCTGGTCCTCTCCGTGTTCGCGCAGCAGCGATCGTCCTCGTCCGGTGTCCGCTCGTCCGCGAGCTTCTGTCCGTTTCGCTTCGCACCCGGCAGGTAACTCTTGTTCGCCGTGGACTTGTCGCCGAAGTTGAACTGCATCGTCGTACCGGCTCTGCCGATGTTATCCAGAGCGTTCTTCGAGATGGTCCTCGGCCCGTCCACGATCTCCTCCTCGGCGACGATATTCTCCGTCGCATTGTTGGACGCGACGCGACTCGACTTCGTGTCGTCTTTTCGTTCCACGTGAGCGGACGACTCCGGAAGTCGCAGTTGCTGCTGAGGATGCTCAACGCTCGTTCTCGCAGGCTCCCTCTCCACTTGCGGACGTGGCGGTTTGGACGATTCCGTCGGCTCCGTTTTCGAAGACTCCCTCGCTCCGGCGGAACCCGGCAGCGGCGGTTTGTGAAGCAGACTCGACGCCTGGAAACGGACCGTCGAGTCCTTAACCGGTGAAGACGGGCTCTGCAATCTGGGTGACGTGATCCTCGGCGAGAGCACCGGTGTGAGAGGTGGCGATTTTATCGTGATCTCCAGGGCGGACAGGGCCGACTTGGACTTGCAGGAAGCCGTGGGCGGCTCCGGACTGTTCGCCGGGGAGAACTTGAGTTTCTGGTAGCTCGAAGGTTCCGGCGACGGCGAAGGAGAGTGCGACTTTTCGATCTGCTGAAATTTACTCACCACCGACGACACCGACTGCACGATTGGCTCCGTGATCACGCCGTCTATGTGGTACTCCTCCTCGCCGTCCTGCGTCTCGATCAGCTCCGCCGTCGGCTTGTGTGTTGGCAGAACGATCCTCTTCGGTGAGCCGACGACGTTGCCTGCGGCAGCACCACCGCGAGCACTGCCGTTGACGAACGGCTTTGGCTGCACCGGCGGCTTCGGCACCACCAGCTTCTTCTGCGTCGCCTGCGCCTGCTTGAACGTGTCGTTGATGGTCTTGAAAGTCGCCACCTTCGCGGCCACTTCGCCCTTGGGCTTCAGCTTCTTCGCCGAGCCCTCAAAGATCCTCATCGTGGTCTTGACTAGATCCGGCGGCGGCCGTTCTGTCTCCGCCAGCACCGGCTTGATCCTCTTCGGCTTGTTGATCGGCTTCGGCCGATCGAGGTCACCCAGCCGGCTCTCGATCTTCACGGATGTACGGTCCACGAGAATGATGTGGTCGTTGACCGGTTCCTGGCGGCGGACGCCGTTCGTCGCCGGACGTGGACCCGGCGCCGAACCGGCACGCGTAGTCTCGTCCATTGACGCGCTGTTGTACCTCATGAGGGTCTCGACGCTGCGCGCCCGTTTCATCGAGTCGTTGCCACGAGACGCATTTCGGTACCTGTCGCTCTTGGCCACGACGACGACGCCGCCGCCGCCGCCGCCGCCGCCGCTGCTGCTGCTGCTGCCGCCGCCGCCGCCGCCGCTCGACGGACCATCCCGCTTCGCGTACTTCCTCGTGACGGCGGTCTTCTCATGGCCGGATGCCTCGTCGTCGTCGCGGTCGAGCAAATCCTCGAGGCTGGCCGCGCGACGAAACCGCTGCACCGACACGCGGCTCTTGTTCGTCTCGCGTAAAGTGAGGTTAAGGTACTTGCTCTTGAGCTTGTTCACGATCCCCGGTCCGTACTGCAGCTCCTCGGAACTGTCGCTCTCCGCGTCTTCGTTGGACGCGCGACTCGCCGTCATCGCGACCGTCCGCGACGATTCCTTCATCGTCCTGTTGCCGAGCGTCGTTTCGCTGTGAGAGTCCTTCCCGCCGCCGCCGCCGCCGCCGCTACGTGCGATAACGACCGTGCGAATTGCGTCACGCTGCGTGTTCTCGACGTTGATATTGTTGATGTCACCGCTCGTTCTCGCTCTACTACCGTCCGACGTTCTCGTCGTAGCCGTCGCTTCCTCGTTCTCGCCTACCGAGTCGCCGGTGTATTCCGACGACGACAACTTGCGCTCCGACATGTCCGCCGTTAACTTGCCCGGCGCACCGTTCAGAACATCCTCCGCGTCCGAGCAGAGCGACAGATCCGCCTCGAGACGCATGTTGTACGCGACTGCCGGCGCGAAGTCAGCGGCCGTTGACGTTGTTCCCGCGACGACGATGGCGCCACTGCTCAGCGGCGGCCTTCTCGAGGGATACGAAGAGGGAGAGGAGGATAACAGCGTGTTACTACCACTACTACCAGCAGCAGCAGCAGCAGCACCACTATCACCACTACCACCACCACCACCACCATCACCAGCTACGCAAACCGTGATGTTCGATGTGTTGTACTCGTTGCTTGCCGCCGCTGCTGCCGCCGCCGCCGCCGTCGTCGTCGTCGTCGTCGTCGTCGTCGTCGTCGTGGAGCGTACCGCGCGAAGCGTGCCGGCGACAGGGCAATACTCCTGCAGTGCTGTCGCGTGATGCTCGACACCGCCGTCTGCCGTACCCGCCGACGATGACGTTCCGATCACCGCGCTGCATAGCTTTACGCTCGCGCCGTTGTTCGCGAGGACCTTGCTCTGTTGACGACGACGTTGTATCAGGTCGCGCTTCCACTGCGGCACGTTGCTGCCGCCGTTCGCCTCGACGATGCCGGCGTTTGTCGTCGCGTTGCTGCCGGCGGTAGCCATGTTGGACGCGCGCTCACGACAGCTTGCGCTCTCTCTTTCTCTTTCTCTCTATCTCTCTCTCTCTCTCTCTCTCTCTGTCTATCTCTATCTCTATCTTGCTCCACCTCTCACTACTCCTCGAAGCTTCCTCGCAACACGAGACAACGACGACGACGACGACGGCGACGACGTACGTGCGTGCGTACGTTGTACGCACATACGTCGGGTTCTCTCTCTCTCTTTCTCTCTCTCTCTCTCTCTCTCCCTCTCTCTCACGCTACTCCGGGCTGCCTCTCACTTCATAACTGCCGTTCGCGCGATTCTCTGCCGGCGGCAACACGATCGCCGGAAAATCGATGACTACTGACACGCCGAGCATACGGTCGAGCACGCGCGCGCATACACGATCGGGTCTGTTCGGGAGGGAAAGAGAAAGAGAAAGAGAGAGGGAGAGAGAGAGAGAGAGAGAAGGAACGAGAGAAACGGTGGACAGAGGACGCGGCGACGGTGACGGCGGTCGACGGGACAAGCAAACGCACGCTTGTCGCTCCGTGTCGCCTTCTCTACACAAGGTCCCCGCTCGCTCGCTTTCCTTCGGTCTCTCCGCTGCCGGTGTTGGCCGCCGTCGCGCTCCCGATCGCCATGTAGACGTTCGCGACGTCTCAGCCAGTCTCGGGTCGGCAAGTCTGCGCGAAAATCGATCGTTTCTGCTGCATTCTCTCTCGTTCCGCCGGTCCCCGTCGTCGCACTCTCTCGCACTGGAAGTCTCGCGAAAATGCGCGCGCACTCGCGCGCGTCCACCTGCCGCTCTCGCGACCGCACCGACGACGACGAGAGCGTCTCGCGTATTCGTTGAACGTGTGCGACAACGACGAGGCGACGGCTCGCCGCGCGTAAAGCGCGCCGCGTCTCGGAGAAGAAACTGTCACGTCGCGCGCACGATACTCTCTCTGTGTTGACAGCGGCGCGTCGCCGCGCTGTTGGGCGAATTATTATTCGGCGTACACCGCGACGCACGTCGCGAGCGACGAGTACACACGCCGTTGCTCTACCGCACGATGACTGGCATGTTCGCCTCCTGGGGTACGCGAAGCCGTGGCGCGCGGCTCGCGGCGGGCGAGAGTCGGGCCCGCTCGACGAAATCGAAAGTATCTGGATTTACCGCTCTCGCTCGTTCACTCGCTCACTCTCGCGTATGCACGAAACCCCTGGTCGAACGAAAGGCGAACGCGCCCGTCTCGCGCTCCCATCTGCCCCGATCCCGCCACCGAAGATCGCCGCTCTCGCAGTCGCGCACCCCGCCGTCTCCTCGCCCTTCTGCCTTCTACGCGCGCCGGTTCACCCTTCCTCATTTCCGCGCGCGCGCGCGCCTTTCTCGTCGCTCTCCCGCCGAGCGCGCACGATCACGAGAGAGAGAGAGAGAGAGAGAGAGAGAGAGAGAGAGAGAGAGTGAGAGAGAGAGAGAGAGAGAGAGAGAGACGTCGTCGCGACGCGACGAGCGAGCGCGGCGGCGCTCGTATCGGCCGCATGACACGCGGACGAAAAATCGAAACTAGATTCGCCGCGTGTCGGGAGGGCACGACGTGTCGTCGTTTTCGAGGACTTGCTGGCGATTCGCGATTCGCTCAAAATTTCAACGGGAGTCAAACTCCGAGGTATGCGCGCAGGGGAAAGCGATGCGTAGCGTCTCTCTCTCTCTCTCTCTCTCTCTCTCTGTTTACCGATGCCTTTCTACGCGCGGTTACTCTCGTTATGACACGTTACACGTGTGCGTACCCGCACGGAACGCACCGCGAGTTGCCGTTCTCGTTGTTCTTATTTAGCAGACGCGATTTGACGCACCGAAGTAAGCGCGTAGTGTCGCAATATGGCGGTACGCTTCGCTCTCGTCCGGTGGTGCTTCACCGTCGCGACGGCGACGTTTCGCGCAGCTCCCGTCGCTCCACTTCTCCGCGACTTCGCGGTTCCATAATCCCGCGGCCATTGGCCATTGTCCGAGGGATGTTAAGGAGCGCGTAATTATCGGTAAGAACGGTGAAAGGTCCGGCTCTTGCTGCCTCGATGGCAAGGCGAATTATCTACGGCTGGTCGTTACATCGCGGTAGCCGCGATTATCCCCCTCGCGTGATTCGACGTCCGCCGCCTTTTACACCGGCGCGGGAGAGGCTTTTTCGCGTGATCCTGATTTTCGGCCTTGTTCGGCGATTGCACGAGAACATAAGAATAAGAATACGATATTCCGTAAGCGCGCGGGCCGCGCCGCAAGTTTCGGGATCGCGGGATGAATCGGAAGTTCCGAGGCGTCGATCTCGAGGGAGTTGTCGCTCCGGCGAAGCCGGATTTCACCGATGTCGCAATTTTACGCGCGCAAACGGCGCAACTACGTGTTCTGTGAGAATGCGCCGAGGCGAAATTAGTATTTGAGCTCGAGCGAAGAACTCGTCGGCGCGCGCGCGCGCGCGCTCGTCTCGCATTCCGAGCGATACGCGGCTCGAGCCGCGGAACGAAAATATAAAATTCAATTAGTTGTATATTTTATGTAAAAAGTCCGACGCACCTTTACACCGGCGGAGAAGCACCGTCCGCCGTAACGTCGTCGGTTGGCGCGAGTAACGACCCTCGTCCGATTGCGTCACGAAGCGCGCCAAGTTTTACGAGGAGGTGATGTAAGCTGGAACACAAACGGCGAATTACTTGCGTTAGACTCGCTAGGAACGCAAATCGCTCGGGAACGCCGGAGTTACGAAGATTTCGAGTTACAATTAAGGACATTGCGCATTGCGCGCTCCTGCGCGTAATAACCCGCGTCCCCCCCCGCTCGATCCTCCGAACAGCGAAGCTCCGGCAGTCGCTTCCTATTCTCGTCGCAGTCGAAGACTACGATCCTCGCCTCGGTGGGTACTGCCCACTTAAGAGGCCACAATTCACATTCCCAACCGACGATAAACACTTATGGCCACCTCCTCGAGTCAAATTGGAGTGTAAACAGTCAACAACGACGTTTCGATTTCTATTAGAAAGTATCCAGTTAGCAGCGGCGACAAGTTTCCATTTGAAGCGCGACGGTTCCGATGGGCGGTTTGCGCAAACCGAAACGTGCCGTCGCCGTTGCCGGACACGATTTGCATCGTGACTCCGTACGTAGGGAACTCACCTTCGCGCGTCCCGGCGACATTCGGCAGTCGAGCGTCTAATATCGCCGCTTCGAAATCGCCGGGAGGAAGAAGTACGTCGCAGCAGTCTCTCCGACTCCAGTCTGAAATGAGTTCGAAACCCGTGCGCGAACTACTTGAAGTTGCGTCGCGTCGCCGCCGTTCGTCCGCGCACGCTCAAGGGTGCACAGCGACGACGGAGCCGTGTCGGTTCGTGACGCGTACGGAACCAGTTTCGGATCAGGAACCGGTTTGGAACTAGTTCCCTTCGGTTTTTCGGCTCCCTGCGAGAGCCGAGCAACGTGCGAGTCCACGAATGGCACTCCGACCGGATTGCTCGGTAGGATCGCAACGTCGACGCACATAAGCAACGAACATGACCGACAACATGGAGCCGAGAGGTAAGACGACTCGCACTGTTCACGACGCGTCGCTCTGACATTGTATTGCGCGTCGTTCTCGCCGTTCACCGTCGTGGTCGTCGATTTACGATCTCGAATCTGTCATGGTAGACGAGCCTCAGCTCGGTGGTCGTTGAAAGTTTACGCAGCGCGCGAAACGCTTGCTTCGTCGTTTAAGGTTAGGTATGCGCAAACGTTTGGTACATAACTGAACAGACTCGCTTTCGAGATAGACCCGATCTCGACCTTACTCGAACGTTTTCGACGATTTTTCACAGAGGACACGATCGACGTTTACACGGAAGTCAAAGTGGAGCCGCCGACTCTTCGGTACGCCGAGGAGGAGCAAGAGAAGAGCTTTACGCACTTCGAGAATACCAACGCGGTACCCACGTGTGTGAACGTAGCTACGTGGAACTTGTGGACCAGTAAGGCCACCTCGTGCCTCATCAACCGATACAAAAAGTACCGGTTGATGGTCGGGCAATCGACGCAGATCAGGAGTCTACGGGAGATGTTCGAGATGATATCGTTGGAGATGCAGAATTACGGTTTCTATTTTAGCCCACAGAAGTGTGAGAACAAGTGGCGGGTGTTGGAGCGCAAGTATAAGAACCTGGTGTTTCGCGAACGGTTGAAAAAGCCCGGCAGGATGAGGCACTATGGACAATGGGAGCACAAGCGAGCCATGGACGAGATTTTTAACGAGATTTCTACAGAGAAAAAGAAGTACGCGTACCTGGAAGAGAACGGGCCGCAGTCAGCGAGCCGCTCGGTCACATATTCCCCGAATATGCCGAAACTTAGCCGTGATCAAGATAGCGATAGACAACAAGAGGACCCTTTGGCGCCGTCATTAACGTCGCATGACGCTACGATCAACGAAAGGAACAACGAGACGCCGGTTCAGCGAACACTAACGGTAATGTTCGAGAAATTCTTCGAGGAATTGAAAAGGAATTTCGCGCTGGCCGAACAGAACAAGGAGAGACGACACAAGGAGAAGATAGCCGTGAGACAAAAAGAGCTGGAACTGAAGAATAAGCTTCTGAAGCTGAAGGAACAGAAGATGGAAGTGCAAAAGTGTCAGATCATCGCTGCCGCGCAGAATTTCGCTTTGAACAGGAACTGACAATGTTCACCAGCCAAGTAACCTGGATTTTTAAACAATTAAACATATCACGCTTATTTCTTTCTTTATAGTCTTGCTCGACATTCCCGTCGATTATATGACTGTGTAATGAGAGATTTATTAAAACTCCTAACTCCTCTTGTATTTTCTCTTTCTCTTACTTTTAGGGCTATTTCTTATGCGTCACAGCATAATAATCGTTGCCTTAAACGCGTACTTCGTACTTCGTACCTTCGGATGGCAATACGCTCCGTAGGAAAGGCACCTTTCATCCACCACGTACAGCCGTGGTCATTTCTACACTTCAGACCAGCGACTGGTCTTGTCGGCGAGTCGGCAGGTAATTCTTAAAGGAGTTCTTTCTCCCTTCACCGTTCGCCGACAGCGTGCTGCTTTACCAGCAACAGGTTGAACCGTGCATTAAATTCAGCATTTCCAAGAAAGATCGCAGCAACGAGAAAAGTTTGCGTCAGCTATTGGAAACGAATCGGCGCGACTGGGGCAAGCCAGATGGCGAACATTGTCGATCGAGCCGATCGCGCGTTTACGATTTTTCACGAAATATTCTCACGGAAGCTTCTCACGTAGTACAATGAAATTTCTCTTCATAATCTGTCAAGTCGTGTGGTTGTCACGAATTTTTACGATTACAACTGCGATGCCGAGTAGACATCTTCGAAAATATTGTATACGAAGGTCGCGTTTTTGCTCGCGAGAAAGCGGCGCCTGCCGACAGGTCGTCTACCGATAAAAACTGACGTTGCTCCTTCCGTAGCGTAATGCGGAATAATTTTAAAATACTCCATCCTCGTGTGTGCCTCTCGTTTTCCATTGTTCTCGGTTAATATCGGCTTGATTCAGAATTTCGCCCGGTATTACGCGACCGATTTGTCTCATCCGCGTTAATTCGCCTCCCGTGAGAGATTCGAATGAATAAATCTCCCCCTGGCGTTGGACGCGTTGTTAATTAACGGCGCTGTGCTGAAAATCCCATCAGGGGTGTACGAGTTTTGTCAATAGTATTGCGCAGCAACGGCCGCGTTTGTAAAATTGGACGCAAGTGCTATCGCGATTCGCTTCTCCCGCCACGCGACGTGCTCGCCGCGACAGCTCATTTGTTTACAGACAAGTTTAAGGGATAAAGACTGTCAGTGTGATTGATCCCAGCGATAAAAATGGAGGTACTGTTCTTCGGAGAACGGAAAATGGCTTCTTACCTGTCGCGTCCGCGATGACTGAGCATTACTCTCTGTCGATGATGTCGTGCCACCGGATCTCCGTTATTGCTCGGAGTTCCGTGGAGCGTGCAAGCCCCTCGTTGGACTAGCTGGAAAAAAAAGGGAACAAAAATACGAAACCAAGCGTTCGGCGAAGCGAGAACAATTGACGCGGGGTACTAACGTCGATCGAGTCGATTCGGCCGGCAAAAGAAGGTGCTTCTTCGTGCAGCCGGTGTTGGCAAAAGTCGCGGTGAGTTACGAACTCTAATCAGGTGCGCTTGCGTAATGGCGATTTAACGACAATGATGCGATTCATCGATCGCGATTCATGTCGAGTACATTCGCGCACTTATTAACGATGCAGCTTGATAATAACAAGCGAGCGCGACCCGCTCACAATCGGTCGTTCATTGTCGATGAATAATCGCAACTTTCATGAATAATATGCAATCGTTTTCGAACGATCCGTTTCATGAAGCTCTGCTCTGAATGCCGATACACAATGAATTATACGTCTCTGTGCTAATTACGTATACTAAACCGAAGTTAATTATGCTAATCGGAGATTTCGCGAGAACGCGCGATTATATTCCCAGCTACGAGTTGCACAAAGTATAACGTTACAGTTGGCGCGAATAATTTTTCATCCTGATTTCTCGACTGGTCGCGAGGTCGTTGTCATCGCGGCTCACTCGTACACCTCACACACAGCCGGTTTATTACCCCTGTCGAACATTATTTAACACACGAGCGACGCTGCGCTCTGTTATTTTGTTCGTGAGATCAATCTCGCTCCTTCTCTCTCTCTCTCTCTCTCTCTCTCTCTCTCTCTCTCCCCTCTCTCTCTCTCTCTCTCTCTTTCTCTCTCTCCCCTCTCTTCTCTCTCTCTCTCTCTCTCTCTCTCTCTCTCTCTCTCTCTCTCTCCGAACGGAGAAGGCGTTTTCTCGTTCGATCCGCAGAAACGCGCTCCCGGCTTTTAAAACGCGTATCGCGCGCATTAGCGTATTTTATTGCTCTCTTTGCCGAACTTGTCCACGCGGACGGGGAAAAATGCCGGGGAGAGATCCGCCTCGCGGACTCTCCATTCTCGCAGAAATAAAAACGCGGATAAAGTTACGCTCGCGCACGGATCCTCGCGAGCGTCGAAATACCGCGCCAGTTCGGGCTAAGCTCGCGACGTGCGCGACAGAGCGAGTGCACACACATACGTGACATCCAACGACGACGACGACGACGACGACGACGACGACGACGACAAAGGGTACGTAGAATTTTATAAAGCGTCACGAGTGCTTTTCGTGAAAAAATCGGTGGAACCGGTTACACCCGCTCACCTCACGCTCTCGCGCACACGCGCGGCCGCGTACACAGCCTACTTACGTGTTTACGCGAGAACACGCGCAGGTACGTACGTATATGACGTTCAATTTCGGTACTGCACCCGGCTGAATTTATCGCCTTGGCCCAATGTTCATGTATCCCCTGTCCCTGGTCAGGCAGATTCAAAGTAAACTCGATCTTTGCAAAAGCTCTCTATCCCATACATCAGCAAGCTGTTTAGCTCGCTTTTAAGGCCTTTAAGGTTGTTCCTTGCTAAGTTAACTGATAGTTAAATCATATGTCTGTCTTTGTCTAAGTTGAAGGAAAAACAGAGACAAACACTATGATTTAACTGTCAGTTAACTTACCAAGAAGTCGGAACAACCGTCCCTAAGTGAAATTTCATAAATATCTCGTGTGCACCGGTGCATCCGTACCTGATTTTTACTCGTTATCATTATTAGAGAACTGTTTCCACCGAAGCGACAAATCCCTTCGAGTGCAGGGATCGATATAAGTATTAAGATATAACTTACTAAGGTTAAGGTCAAGGCTCGGTCTTACGTATGTAGCTTGGAGGCCGTACAAGTAACTCTAATTACAACGTTAAATCATATACTGTTATACATGAGAAGAGTGAGTCTGGAAGCCGACGTTTGATATCGGTCTTCAAGATCATCCTTCCAGAATTCCTTGCGGATACGTCCGGAGTGATGTTACAAAAATGATGCTCTCTTCACCGAATGTGACGTCACGACGGCGCGCATTCGGTACGTTTCGTTTAACCGTAGCGTCCGGGAGTTCTCTCGGTCCCAGCTCCGTTCTGCCTCGGTTCGGCGGAGTGGAAGCCACGGGGCGCCGCGTCGCGCGTCTACGAGCCTGAATGTGGCGGGCAATGGTGCGGAGGTGGTCGGCCGTCCAGTCGTGCCGCGACCATCGAGCGGTGAGTACGCTCTGTGTATCGTTTCGCGCTCTGCGACGCCGACGAAAAGTCAGAGGGAGTGAGAGAGAGAGAGAGAGAGAGAGAGAGAAAGAGAGAGAGGGAGAGAGATAGAGAGGACCCAAGCGCAACAGCCGCGCGCGTTCTCGCTCGACATGTGAGCGTGTATCCTCGTCCGCCTCGGGAAACGAGAACACGCTACGTCGAGAGCGCTAACGCGAAACACGTAAAGCATCGGGCCACCTATCCACCCGCACGTGTCGTCCATCGGGATAAAGCAGGTGACTAGCAAGGGGCATCCACGTCATAGACGAGTGCGTACATACACAACACACACACACACACACACATATGCGTGCGTACTATTATACGTTGCGTAGCGGTGCGCGAGGCTCCGATCGCGAGTACGCGGAACAAAACATTGGCCGCGACGAGATTTGTTTACACACTGCAGTGGCGCCGCATTGCCTCACCCCGCGCATCCCCCCGCCGAGCTAGCGCGCTTTCTCCACCCGGGCGGGAAGTCGAGAGTCCCAGACACAAACGCGGGGACACGGCGCGTCAGTCTCTTTGTGTACGGGGCGGTATTGATGGTAAACCCGCGGAGCCCGACGCACCGCGCGATTCAACAACGGCGCGTGGCTGCGAGGAAACAGTGAAAAGCCGTACGCGTGTGCCGTGCAGTCGAAAGTCAACCCCGTCGTAAGACGAGCCCTCGGCGCCACCTGTCTCTCACGCAGGGGGAACAATACGGTTCCCCACTGCTGTGGCGACCCGTCGATACGTAGTCCGTGCCGGCCGAGAGACGAGCGAAAGCCGCGAAAGTTCACGCGACGCGCGGAAGACAGCCGCGCGCGCGCGCGCGTGCGCGCGAGAGAGAGAGAGAGAGACAGACAGACACGCCACTCGTCGTCGAGAAAATCGCTCGCGAGCGGCGCCGACTGACGGAGCGAACGCGCGTCATCCGACCAGTCGCGCGCGCTCTTTTTTCTCTATTTCCCACCGAAATTACATGCAGCACGCGTCCCGGACCGCGCGTCACGGCGCGTTACGACCCCCGCTGCTGGGCCCCGTCTAAGTAACAGTACTTCCTCGCGCTCGCTGGAATAAGCCTCTTTCCGTAGAACGGGACCCACCGCGCTCTCCTCTGCGCGCGTGCGCGCGCGCGCTTGCTCGCTCGCTCGCTCGCTCGCTCCCTCGCTCGCGCCCGTTCTTCTCTCTCACGGCGCGCAACGCCGCGCCGCGCCGGCCGGCCGTTCATTCGTTCTCTCTCTCTCGTTCGTTCGTTCGTTCGTGGGTCGGCCTGTCCGTCCGTCCGTCCGTCCGTTCTTCGTTCGTTCGTTCGTTCGTTCGTTCGTTCGTTCGTCTCGTTTGCGTTCACGCTCGCGCTCGTCGCACCGTCCCGTTCTATCGCGGCTCGAAGTAGTCTGGCCGGTCGTGGACACGGGGGAGCCTCGTGAAACCAGTCTTCGCGTACGTACGTATGTACGTACGTTCGTTCGTTCGCGCCCGGACGCGTCCTCACTCTTTCTCTTTCTCTCTCTCTCTCTCTCTCTCCCTCCCTCTTTCTTTCTCTCTCTCTTTTCTCCGGGAGAAGCGTGGCCGGGGAAGAAGAGGAGCAGGCTGCGGTGCCTGACGGCGTAAACCGGCATCTTCCGCACCTGCTCCGACTTACGAGGATTTTCGGCAGGAGCAAGATCGAGCAGAGAGAGAGAGAGAGAGAGAGACGCGCGCGCCCACAAGGCGCCCGAAGGATCTCGGCATCAACGACCGACGGCCACTACGGGGGAATCGATCGTCGTAGCGTGACGAGCGAGGGCGATGAAAATCGGCTCGCACAGGTGCCCGGCCGCACGTAAGATCGCACTTTCGGACACCGCGTTGTTCCTCACACCCGTCGCCATATTCTTTTTTTCTTATCTCGAGCGCGTCGGCGGGAATTTGAAAATCCGCGGCAGATGTCGGCTCGATCGGCACCGTCGTCGCCGTTAAGTCCGGTGCGCTAGTCTAGCTTGTCCCGCTCGTATCCGCTGCGGGGAAGGAGCTGCGCGTGTTCCATCGCGCTTTGAAAATTGCTGTCGGCCTGCCGTCGTCGCGAGAAAAGCGCCGGATCCGGATGAAAACAACGCTCGCGCTTTGTTTACACGACGCAGGAGCGCGCGATGCCCGCGTCCCGCCGACCTCTAGCGCGCGCCAGTCAGAATCGAAGGAGCCCCGCGCGCGCTCGTAAACATTGCTAGTGATGCGTCGCGAGTGACGAGTGTGAGTGCGATTCCTCCACGCTGCTGCGCGGTGGTCGTCGTCGCCATGCCGATCCGCGGCGGCCGATAGTGCGCGAACGTGAAAGTCGAAGTCGGTGCACTCTCGGAAAAAGTGTGCGGCGTGGTGTTGCGCTGCTGATCCGCTCGCGCTCGCAGGAGCACGACAATTCGTCGTAGCCCGGGGAGGATTCAGCGACGACGAACGGTATAGGTAACGGGCGCGTTGCCAGAGTAGAACCTAACCTCGCGCGGAGAGTGCGTGCGGCTCGCGAGTTCTCACGAGGATTCGGGGAGACGCGCGAGGAGGAGGAGGGAGCATCAAACGATCGCAGGAAGATCGAATCTGCGATAATAAAGGGCGTAGCGGATGAAAAATATCGTTGAATCAGATCGGATAAAGTGAGTAAAGACGGACAGAGGGAGGAGCGTGGGGGAAAGGGAGAGAGAGAGAGACGGACACAGATAGGCAGAAGGAGAAAGAGGAAGAGAAGCTCAGGGCCTTTCGCCGCTCGTGCGACCTAAGTTTCTCGGTCGTCCGAGAGTCCCACTGATCTAATTCACCGCGCTCTTTTGCGCGACGCGCCGCGGTGAAGGCGTCGCTCGCTCGCCCACCAGGTTGAGCCTCCGTTCGGGTTCCGTTCGCTCGGTGGTGGAGGCTGCCGCGAGGCTCGCGCCGTCGATCCTCGCGGAGACCCTGGTGTTCTGGGATATAGAGAGAGAGAGTGTGTGTGTGTGTGTGTGTGTGGTGCGCGTGCGTGTGTGTGTATACACGGTTCGCGAGTCGCGTGTGCAATTATCAGTGGTGTTTCGGAAGAGACGAAGGTGCATCCGATCGTTGGAATAGCGGCTGAAATTCCGAGGAGGAGGAAGCAGAGGCAGATCCACCGTTCGGAGCGACGGGCAGCAGAGGAGGAGGAAGAGGTCGCCGAAGATGAAGACCACGCAGCGTGCTTTGAGGTGAGTCCACGCTGAGAAGCGAAATTAATAATAATAGAATTGTTGCCGGTTGTTCGCCGTGTGTGTTATTGTATACGCTCGACGATAACAGTAAGCGCGGCCAGCGGCCATTCCGTATAACGAAGGCCCGTTCCACCGCTGTAACGTTGTAATAACGAGCGGAGCCGCATGTGTGGCCGAAGACGGCCCCGGAGAATCGACTTGACCAGCGCGCGTTCCGCTCTCGCGAGTGAACACGCGCTGATTTTGTTTCTCTTTCCCTCCTGCTTTTTCCTTCTCTTTTTTTTACCCATTCATTTAACACGCCGCGGTCTCGCAACGATGCGTCGCAGACTCGCGCGGTGCGTTCCGTTTTTCTCATTGCTCGCGATCTCTCGGATTTCGAATCGACGAGCGAGAGAGTTCTCTCCTTCCCCCCTCTCCTCTCTCTCTCTCTCTCTCTTTGCATGTAATTTTGCCTCACCTAAAAGTTCCTCGCTCTCCGCGTGACCCAAGTACAAACATTTACACGAAGGAGGAGAGCATTTCGTTTACACGTGGAGATAAAAAAGAGCGGAGTTGGATCAACAAAATATCGCCGGCCGACCTTGTGCAAACAAACATCGGTATCCGCTGATCGAGTTACGTGTTCCCAAAATACAATACATTGTATCGCGGTGCTTGCCGACCGCGCGTCACCGATTCAACAATTAGTAACTCGTTGCAATAATTATATTATAACATTATCCTCGAGCGACTTGATGATTTGCTCGGGCGAATTTCGCTCGCCCGAACGAGGCTCAACGGTCGACACGTTCCACCCCGCGTATTTTTCTTCTCCATCTTGCTACAGCGAGTCAAACGAGGAAGTGTGATACTCTCGCGTTAGCCAGTCGCACGTCCCCCAGGAATATGTAAATATCCGTAATTTCCGCGTTTTCATTTTTCCCAGCTGACCGACATCAACAGTCTCCCGGATAATTTATCACCGCGCGGCCGACGCGACGCCTCTCTCGTGTTACGCTCCGCACTCACAGTTCGGAATTCGCTTTCGATGCTCACTGCCTAACTCGAGACCTAACTGGGAATGACAGCGCTAATAATTAACGAATCCGAGATAACTCAGTAGCGTTGCATGCGTGCCAATCTCGCGCGGGCGCGCGGTACGCCCGGGTAATAACGACCGGCGCGTCAAGCGAGAGTTTCATTTTGATAATTATTTATTTTCGTTAAAGCAAACTAGGCACGTCCGCGTAATTGGCCGCCAATCAAAGTAATTGCGCGTCGCTACGACCGCGATGCGCGCGCCGCACGTATATACCGGTAACTCGCGGGAACGACTCGCGGCGCCTATGGGCTCCGCGTTACTTTTTGTTACCGTATGTAGGACTCTGTCGACGGGCTGCTCATTGCGTGAGTTAATTTAAGCGCATTTAAAACGATCGACTGATCTCTCTCTCTCTCTCTCTCTCTCTCTCTCTCTCTCTCTCTCTCTCTCTCTCTCTCTCTCTCTTCGTGACTACTTTCGGTCACGGACACTCTCACGTGCCGGACGTTTATTCCGCCGTATATCTTGCCGTCGATCATCCCGCTCGTTCCTCTCTTATACGGCGAATGCGCTATCGTAGAGAGGTATAAACGTCGATCGTTCATAGGGAAATATCGGCGGACGACGCACGGCGGTCGGAATAGTTTCATACATCGTGGACGCGCGCTTTGCCGTCGTCCGTTTGAAAAATTGAAATGTGCGATTGAAGCGCGCGGAGTGTGGAAGTGAATAAGGAACGGGGCATATACTGAACGTTTATATCGCCGTCGTTTTACGTTGTAATTTGCATTTGGTGATGTAGAATGAATTTATGACCGTCGAAATGTCCGCGTTATCGGATAGATCTTTCGGGCTCGGCCTATCGTCGATTAAGTAGAGTCACGTAAGACAAGAAATTGATTACATTCCCAGATGCAGATTTCATCAGACTTATTTTAGCTATCATACGAGAAATACTTGTTTCGATAATAAATACCCGACTCTCTCGCTGTGACTCGCGCGTGAATCGCGAATTGCCGAACGCGATGACTGCGTTAAAAATCCGCCGATGCCGGTTCGTGCGCGCGGAGAAATTGATCATCGAGGAAAGCAATGATCCAGAGATCCGATTGGAGACGAGCTTTAAACTTGACCGGCCGGCTAACGAGAGAGAGAGAGAGAGAGAGAGAGAGAGAGAGAGAGAGAGAGAGAGAGACGCGGATCAATTTTATCCCGAAAGAGAGCTCTCGATGAAGGCGCGTTACTTATGTTGTTAATGCTTTCCGCGACGGATAAATCCGTCATTCGCTCGCAAAATTCACGGCGATATTATCGGCGATAAATACGAACGAACGGGTTAGCTCGATTCGCGAATGATTGCCGAACGGGTCTCGGGAACGACCTGCAGGTCGTTACATGCGCGAGTTCCCCTCGAAGGCTCTAGGGCTCTCGAAATGCGACTGGTCGGATACGAACAGTTTGCTGAAAGGTAAAGGTAGCGATACAAAATTATCGGACCGTGAACTCGGATATGATATCAGATACGACTGGCCCCGCTGCGGGCGGCTATGTAAATGTCATACTCGCCGGCTTCGTGTCGGCGCGTTTCGCGTCGAAAATGTCAGGTGGCGAATGATGACTCGATTCGATTCGCGTTGACTCCATTTTGCTCGGACTCGCGATTGTTCTCATTTCACTCGCGGGACACCTGCGCGAGACCAATTGGAATGCTAATTCGACGAACGGACACATCGCGTGCCGATTAATTGAGATTTGAGATTTCAGCAGTTCTTTTTCTTTTTCTAACGTATTTTGTTATTTCGTTTCTTTCTTGTTTCGTACCCGCCGGGGGAATTATCGCCATGTGTAATCTCGTTTCTCGCGTTTTGCATAAGATTGCGAAGATTTCCTCTCGACGCGCGCGCGGCGCCTCTAACGAGAGAGGAGAAGCAGAAGAAGCGGTAACGCCCAATTAAGTGGTTGTCCCTAATTAGCGCGGGAATCGGCAGGCTATTGTGGGATCGATTGCGAGATAGCGCACGCAGCGGCAACTTTCTTTTCTCATTTCGAGAAAATGAAGCTTCGTAGGAAGAGAAGAAGTCGCGCGACGACAAGGCACTTTGCGTGCGCTTGTTTCTCCTCTGTCTCTCGCGTTCGTGCGCGCCGACGAACGGGTAATTAAAGCGTCTCAATTAAGATCAGTCGGCCATTGTGCCCCTTCAGAGATTGAGGAGGGGGGGGGGATTTTCCATCGAGTCTCGAGAAAACTAAGAAAACGCTCTATAATTAATTACGTAGAGCCGCCTACCGTTCGCCGCCGCGGTTACACGAAGCGCGTTTTCATTCTTGCCGCCCGCAACTTTCCAACTTTTGTCTCATCGTCGTCGGCTTTTATCTCTCTTCTTACCTTTCTTTCCGCGAGGTGTCAGAGTTCGTCAGATGAACGCGGCGAAACAAGAAATAGCTTAGGTATAATATTTTGTGACGTGAACGATTACTCGCCGAGAGTTAGTTTTGACACAGTTCGAGTAGCTTCCCCTGCTCTGACGTAATTCTCAGTTATTTATTTTTAACCAACTGAATTATAGTCGCTCGCGAGCGGAGATACTCACCGAAAGAACTCACTTAAGAACACGAGAGACCCAGAAATGTATTTCCGCATATAGCAGCAGGAGGAGAGCTGAGCGTGAGGAGATCAACGCCGGAGGGGAGACGACGAGAGGAAATCGGGGCGAAGCTTACGCTCGTTATTTCTCTTTAATGACCGTTGATAATCTAATTACTTCAATGTTGCTCGAAACTACTACTCGGGACTCGGTGCCGCGATCACGCGGAATTATCCGCGGACGATATATGATGTGTATTATATATAATGTGTATTATATATAAACGCGATGTATATCGCCCTTTCAAATATTTACTCGGGTCGGGTCGATTAGTAACATGTACTATGCCGAAATCCCCCCATTAAACGGAACTTTGTTAATCCGGCGAACGGCGCGCGCGCTATAAACTGCTGCGGCGATCTATTTGACTTTCGTGAATGATTGGGCCGCGCGCGTGTTCCGACGTATACTCGAACCGTCGGTTCGAAGTATCGACCACCGTCGGGCTAGCTTAGTTTGTGCAGGCGAAATTAATTCGCGGAAATATTCGCGCTGCTTCTCAGGAAAGCCGCGCTCTCTCTCTCTCTCTCTCTCTCTCTCTCTCTCTCTCTCTCTCTCTCTCTCTCTCACAATCTTTCCCTCCTCTCGCAGAATCGCCGTCGTACACTGCAATCTCTCGACGTCCGGCACCGCGAATAGCGTAGAAAAATCCTGGCCGAGTATCCGGAAATGTAATCGATAAGTCGCCGGTGAGTTTTTATCTCGTTCTTATAGATCGCTATCTCGTTGCTCTCGATTGTTGCCCGTTGCGGTGACTTTATCGCGTTCGAGCGAAGGTGAGATTACCGCGGCAAAGTCCAAGCGCGAACAACGGAGCAAAAAGGAAAAGAATGGTCGCAAGTACGAGGCGCGTTGTTTATCGAGTTTGCGCTCGGCATATCTCGAGAGCTCGATACCGATATCGTCAGGATGCGGGATAGGTGCTCGCGAGGAAAACACGTGTGCTCGCGATAACATTGTTTTCGCGGCCGCGCTTGAGCCGCGCACGGCCGTTTAGCGTTTGTACACGGACGAATTAGTGACCTGAGTCACACACGTGGATGAGTCACTCTTTTTCGGCCGGGTACCTGTTAGCACAAAAATCACGTACGGCGAGTTTCGTGTCGTCGCCTGCGCGAAGTCCACCACGGTATCGCGCGGAACGTTTGAACACGATCGCGTTTAAACTCGCGGCTCGACCACGATGACTTCTTCAGCATGTCCGGTTATCTTTCCCGCGCACGTCACGATGGCACGTGATCGTGCTACGAGTTTTTATGTGCACCCAAAAGAAAGTAATTTCAGAACAAGTATCTCAATTTTAGAGGATTTTATTCTTATACATGGCC